GGCAAAGTATAAGACATGTATTATGAATTTTAAAATAGATGTAATTTACATTTGTAAATATGAATGTAATAACCCAATGATATTATTGGGTTCGAATAATATTGCATTACATGAATGGTTAAAAGTGTTAATTACTCTAGGATGATTTATAATTGATGATGTTCATGATTATTAATTGGAAAATAATACTCTATACATTTATATGCTAATATTTCTATATGCAATCACATAAGACACATTCATTATAGGCTTTGAAAATTTGTGCCCTAGCGTCTCCGCATTTCTAGAGAGTTTTATTCGATATATTTTGGGTTAAATTTAAAAAAATCAATATGCAGAGATCTCAACCTCATTTTGCAAGGATTTTAATATCTGAGTTCAGGTTTGTCATAGCCTCAAGCTCCTATGGTTAATTACACCACTAGCACTTTCGATTAAAGTTAGTAATTCGATAGACATTAAGTATTTAGTGTATAGTAGTAGGAGATTTAGTACTGGATTTAAAACTTACTATCTTACACTTAATGCAAATATCTTAATCAAAGGAGGTAGTCAACCCAACCTAATTGAAAGATCCTTATTGATAACTACAAGTTGGTTCGTTCAATGATATCTTATAGGCTTGGAGTGAATGTTTGTCTAAGATGATAAATTCAAGTCGAATTTAACTAATAAAGTAGTTTGTGCGCTATTAAATATATCTTATGATTCATCACTCGTGGGTTTTAGCTATTGGGGTACATATATGTTCTAATTGTGATCATAGTTTAATGGTGCATATTTGTAGCAAAATCACCTATTAAGAAGGTCCCAACCATAAATATTTATCTGTTGTGTCATTTTGTGGCAAAACCACTGGTTAAATGACACATATCCTATTCTTATTGGCTGGAGATTGTTTAAGAATTAATCTTATGGATATTTTTGACAAAACATTCATGCTTTGTGAGCTGAGATTTTTCTCAAACAATTGTGTATGGCGAATTGATTTTGGTTTGAGTTATGGAAGATAGACTTCACTTGAATATTTAGAAATTGATGTTGAATTTTAAAATTTATTGAAATTCAAACCTCAAATGATTAATTTTTTTTAATTTAGGGGTGTTTTTGAAAATAATGTAATTTCTTTCGGTTGAGATTTTTCGTCAACATAGTCATCATCAGGGTTAGTTTGACCCGTTTTATTTTGATAATTGAATCTTGTCAACTTTGTCTACTTGCTGACAAAAGATTAGGTATGATCTCAATTCATATAACATTTTAATAATAGAATTTTCTCTGATTGACATTCACTTTCAATAGGACTATCATTGGAGTGGGTTTAAATAATTATATTTGTTTATCCGAACTTTATCAACTCTGCTTACACACTAACGAGGATCAGGTTTAACTATTGATTTTATGAATTATTATACAAACCTTAATTTGAGAGTTTGCAGTTTTGTAATGAATTTCATTTGAAGAGGGGTTTTGAAAGCCTAATGTGAACATAAAACAAAAAGTTTATGTGAATTTCACAGTCGTATATTCATTTATTAATTCAGGTATTGTCAATTTCAGTCCTTTCAAGGAGGAGGATTAAATTAAAATTTACGTTTCTATTTATTTTGACCCATGCAACATTCTTGTATTTTTGTGTTTGCGAGTTTAGCATGTTTGTTGGAGCACCTATAGGAATTTAATTTAAAAAAAGGATTTTATTTGGCTCTCTTTACCCTATGCAACTTTCTCATATTTTGTTTTTTGCTGTTTAGCACTTTTCTTAGAACACATTCAAGGATTTTTATTTTTTCTTAAATGATGTGTATATTTTTTTTATGCATATGCACGATACGCTTGCACGCTTTAGGTGCACTCACCTAATCCACTTGCATGCATTTTAATGCATTTGCATAGTTTATTCATTCACTTTCAATGTACTTACATGCTTTTCTATGTCTTCTCACAATATATTTGCACATTTTTTGGTGTAATTGTGTAGCATATTTTCATGTCTTTCAATATATATATATATATAATTTATTAAATTTTCTAACTTATAAAAATTATAGCACTTTTCAAGGCAGCTACACATATATCGTGACATTGGCATGCTTTTCTATGCCGTAACTCACTTCTCGAAGTGGTAGCACTTTTCCCTAAGGTTGCTTCCATCTCCTTCAATCTAGACTTATGGCCCACATAAGTGTTGGATTTTCTTGCGTATAAAGTGCATTGAGGAACATATTATTTGAGCAGTTGGATGTGGTTGCTGTAGTTTTTGGCTACAATTTAGTCAATTTATATGGAGTTTTTATATGTATGTACTGGTTTTGCATTATGGTTCAATTCATTACACCTATTGAGTATGATGTTATGCATATTAATAGACATGCACACATGAACACACGTGTCCACACTTGCATACATGCATGCAAATGTATGCACATATAGACACCAATGCAAATATACATGCGCACATACACACGCACGTGTAAATATACACACACATGTACAAGTGTGCATGAGCACGCTCGCACACATGTGCACACACATGCAAAACACATGAATCTCCTTCTAAAAGAAAATAATCATTTCTTTTAAAATTGATAATTTTTCAAATCATTTGGTCATTAATTAATAATTACAATTGATGGCTTTGATTACACTTTAAGGGGCTATTTGGTTGTTGTGTAAAGTATTCCAAATGCGGAGTTTTTGAAAATGTTAGTGTTTAGTTTGAAGTAAAATAATGCAATATAAAATTTTGATTCATTTGAAATACACCATCTAATTCTTTTTTTTTTTTTTAAATTGGAATTCCTTCGATTTGGGCAAGTTTCAAATACATCGGAAATTCATTCTTCCAATTGTCCCCCGCCACCTGCCGCTAGCCACACTACCGCTAATGTCAGCCATTAACTACCACCTTCTTGCACTTCACATTGCATTCATTTTACTTTAACCAAATAAAAAAAGTTATCTCATGCATACTTTTTACAATCCTCCAAACAACTACAAAGTATTCTTTTCACACTGCATTCCTTTTACATTGCATTACTCTCATAGGCAACCAAATAGCCCTTTAAGATAATGCAATTTTAGAGTGTAGAGACTTTCGAATAGGTTGGAATCAAATAAAAGGTTGCTGATGATCATATATTTGATAATTTTGATTGGATAAGTAGATGGTAAAATCAGACCTTAGAAAGATCTTCTATACTTCAATCAATCATCGTTGTATTTTTGTTGTGTTTATTAAATGGCTAAATTATCATAAAAATTAATGAAATTATGTTGAAGACCTTATTTAATGATGTGATCTTTGGATTAAAAACCTTATAAAGTGATATATAAAAATAAAATTGGAAGAAGATTAGTCATTTTTTATCTTTTGAGATATCTCATGTGTGTGTGTATATATCAATGAGTTTTAGCTCAGGTGGTATGCTCCTTAATGCTGCTGCATATATAGAGGGTAGTAGACTCTTTCCGTTGAGTTCATGGGCCTATAGCTGAACTTTTGCCCAACTTATTATGATAAAATATTTGGTATAAATTTCTACCTTTTCAAAAAACTACAAAATATTAACTAAATTTAGGTAGGAGTAATTGGAAGTAAAATATAATTTATTTGAAACAATGCCATGTTTATTAGTATACATTTCATGATGGCAATTAATGAATTAATGATCAAAGTTGTAATGTAAGGTAGTTTACATTTATTCAAAGACTACAAATTGCAATTTTTGTTTCATATTAATGAAACATAAATGGGTGTGAGTGGATGAGTGCGTGAGTGCAGGCATGGGCAAGCCAAATGACTATAGCTATGTGTTTGGTAAGTTATACTTTACTCATAATTGAACTTATTTTTTTATGCACTATTATAACGAAAGAGGAAGATTAAGATTCAACATTAGAAGCGTAAGCTTTAGCACTTTTAGCTCAGTGCGTGTGTAATGCACATATTACACGTGATAGTGATAGTGATGTAATGCACATATTACACTTTAGAATTAATGAAGCATATGCTTTTGATGCTTGAAATTGATGCTTTGAAATAAAGGTAAGTGTTACGCTTTCAATATTTGAAGCGTAAACTTCAAGCTCATAGCTTCAAAGCACATGGGGAAGATGCTTCTAAGCACAAAAAAGTGAGCATTTAAGTTGATTTTTTGAATAATTGATGCCACTAACTTTTTTTTTATTAGACGATCGCTTGCATGGGAAGATTGAAGATAATTCAGGGAATGATTAGAAAATGAAATAACTAGAGAGGAAAATTTAGGACAGGAAATATATGTTTTTTATCTCTAATACTAATTGGGCATCCAACAAACTTTTTAGTAATTGGTCAAATCATCAAGCATGTTTTACATGTGGAAGCTGATTGTCGTGCATCATGTTTGGGTCTAATGTACATATTTGGGTTGACTTGGTATTTATTTGGCATTGTTGGTCTTGGTGTTATTGCTGTATTATGTGCTGTGTTTGGCTATTCATTGATATACGAGGTAAAATCCTTGAGGCTCTCAGAGAGATGGACAAAATGCTTTGCAAGTTTCCCATGGTCTTGAAGCCATGGAGGAGGCGCTTGTGCAAAAAACTTTCTTTTCATGTTTTATGAGCAAACCAATTGAGAAGCATCCTGAATGGAAGATTTATTATAAAAGTTGTTTCTCTTTTTTCCTGACAATGAGCCCTTCAGATTTAGAGTTCTACTTGTGGGTTGCAGTTATATTGTTTTTTTTCTTCTAGAATCATGCATATGGATGCCTGTTTTTTAATAGATCGGTTATCTGTCTTACTCAAAATATCTTGGCCTTCAGGAGAGCTTGCCAACTTTGTGAGTTTCTATTTTATTTGTTGCCAACTTTGTGAGTTTCTATTAGTATCCAAGTGATTATTGAATGTTACTTATTTTCTTTTACAAATTTTTATAATTTACATCTCCCTGCAAGTTCCTCAACAGCAATCAGTTTGCAACATCAGTTTGTAATATAATACTTTGATGCTAGGAATTGAATATTGGTGGTGGTTTGGTTATTTCTGCATTGGAAGAAGCTTGTGGAACCAGCAAGTCTAGAATTAAAGAAATGTACAACGTTTCTGGTGATCTTGGTAATTTGTGTCTTCATTACCTCTATGGGTTTAATCATTATCATCTTCTATGTCATTATTTGATGATTTTGCACTTCTTGAAGGTGATGTTGCCCAAGAATGCCGACAAACCCAAAAGTTACTTGCTCAGCCTCGTCCTATTTCAATAAGTAACTTATTTTTAATGCTTAGAAGGATAAGGTACTGGAGCCTGCAAAACACACTCTTGCCATTAAGTTCCATTGAGGCTTATCAAATATGATTGATGAATTTGATGTTATTTGATGTTATGCATAATTAGTGTTCCCTAGGAAGTTTATTGCATTTCTTTCATTTTACCCATTCGTGATGGGCTCCTACCATAATGTATTTTTCTTTTATATGCTGGATTTGATTTCTTGTTTGATATCTTTCTCTGATTTATGTTTGCCTGCCAAGCTTGAACCATGCCATTTACTTTCTTATGATTTATTTGTTGAGTTTGACTGTTAGTTTATTTTGACTTCCCTCATTTTATGTGTAGATTGGAAAAAAAGTTTGAATTATAAGTCTGTAAGTGTGAGACTCTGTGCATTTCTTGACATATTAATGATACATGCTTGCCTCTCTCCTTCTGTTTCTTAATTATTTTTTTTCAGTTATTTGTATGCATGTATAATATGGTCTACTCTTTTGAGGGGCCATTGTTTATATGTTCTGGTGGTAGCTACAAATTAGTGGTCTCATGCCTGTTGATTGTAGTTGTTTTACTGTTAACTATAAATAGTGAGTTATGTTGTTCTCTAGGGCGTATTTTGTTTCCTTGTGAATCCTTGTGTTAATATGATAAAGCAATTCTTTGTTTCTTTATTTTCTCAGGTCTGTTCACCTTCTAATTTTCTAGTGAAGTTACTTGTACTTCACGTGCTTAGACATATTTCTTTGCATTAGCGTGGAAACAGGTAGTGGCAGTGCTGCTAGAAGGAAACAGATTGTTGTGAAACTGATGCGCTTTTGTAGAGAAATGGAGATGAAGTTTCTTGTCCGAACGCTTGTAAGACGGTGCTTCCTTTTTTGTTCCCATTTTTACAGTTAATTTTTCCTTAGGCCTTTGGTCAGTTTGCTGATAAACGTGCATGTTTGATAAGATGGGTACTTATTTAATTTTTGAATGGATAAGGCTTTTTTGGGTGAATGCATAGCACTGATATTTTGGCTTTTGATTGAGTAAAGAATATAAGGATTATGTCCACATTTCGATAATTTCCAGCAGTAGTGGAAAATTTAGTTGTCTGTATTTGCCTATGGAATATTAAAATTAGATGTTAAAATCATAAACAGAACATCAAACGTGATGTTTATTGTAACTAGTAGTCTGTTAATGCTATGAATGCTTGAGAAGGGGTTGAGACGCCAATGCCTAGCTTGGAGGCATTAATTTTGCTGAATTGTACTTTGTTTGAGATGAAGTAGACCGTGATTCACCAATATTGGTTGACCTTTAAGTGATTAGAACTTCAAAGGAGGAGACTTGAATTCACTGGTTTTGAACAATCACAGAATTTGGATAAGCAACATTTGTGGAAAGTTCCTACAAACAGTGCCACAAATGTTGCCAAACTGTTATATATCAGAAACAATCGAAAGCCATGAGAGATTCTAAGGGTATGTTATTCATAGAAATTGATCATTTATTACACACGCACAGCCTAGGAAATATGTGAGCTTGCCCTGAAGAATATTTTTGTGGATAGACACTGATGCTTAAAGCACTGAGTATATTTCAAGGCTTAGAAAAGGAGTAGAAATGCCTTATTTGAGCCATTCTCAAAGCGTTTCATAAAATATTGAAGGACAATCTTAGAAAGCATGTTCATTACTCAGACCGATAGGGTTTCACTCCTTTCTTTGAGGGAAGGACGCTCCTATCATCAATGGATGGGCATCAATGAAGGTGGGTATCTAGCAAAGCCAACAACAAGCATAACGTGTTGCAAGGGAGTCTCCCTAAATGAAAAAAAAAAAACCATGAAATAATACTCCTTCCGAAGCATGTGCATATGAAAAATGTACAAGGGCTTGATGAAGAAGGGACTACAAATGTTGATGAACTTCCTCATCTTACATCATATTGTTCCACCAAACCAGAAAACACTTCCTAAAGATGTTTTTTGTTATGTGGTTTTGATATGACAGGGCTGGACAAGGCAAGAAAGGAGCTTATTGGGGTGGAGCAGCAGAGAATTAATACATTATAATTTGAGGAAATCAATTAGGAAAGCCTTTCCTAATTGAATTATTTTCAAATTAAAAAGGGAGATATATTAGGAAGGGGGCTGAATTAGGAAATCCTTCCTATGATATCCTTTCCTAATTGAAATATTTTCAAATTAATGAGGGAGATATATTAGGAAGGGGATTTAGGAGGGAGGGAGGAAACCTATTTAAGTTCATGGTAGGGTTTATTTTATTCTTATGCAGAATTTTGTCTAGAGTAATGTAGTTTTCTTTTGTGAGGGATCCTAGTGGCATCTAGGGCTTGGGAGAGAATATCTTTCTCTCAAAAGAGGATCAATTGTATCTTACTTCTTTTTATTTGGTTTCCTAGCAATAAAATTCTATTATTTTGCTGAAATTTACTATTATTCGCTGATTTTTGTGGTTCAATACGTATCAGGTATCCCACTTAAGGTTCCTAGAATACCAAAATGAAGAAGATTCACCCTGCATGGGATATGATTATGAAACGTATTTGGAGTGATACCAGTGATTCCAAGGAGGTAGCTAGAGCATATAGTGGTCACTAAGAAATAGCGGAAGGCTAGCAAATGATGTTTTGAAGAAACAATTGAGGCAAGCCCGATCAAATCCCCAGAGCTGAAGAATCTCTTGAAAGTCTAGAAGAAATGGAAGTTAAGCATGTTCAACTCCAAAATATGATTGGGGCTAGTTTTATTAAATCTCTAGTAACTTCAACTCCGAATACTTAATTAATTTTCTTAGCGTGGAGATATTAAAGCTGGCCATCTTATTCATGTCTGGGTAATGGTCGATGTTCAATGTGGTTCATTGTACTATCTCAGCTGGATCCTCTAGTTCAGGTTTGCATAGTTTGGTCTTTGGCATGGTCAACTTGACTTGAAATCATTATTTCTCCTTCAACGGTGATTTTGATCATCATCATCAGCCATTCCCAATTTTTCAGAGCCAGTTAGGATTTTTTCCCTGGATTGTGCAAATTGTCTGGGCCAAGGAAGCAAAATCATATGATAACTTAGCTTGTGATGTGTTAATATTTGATATTTTTTTCATGCCTACTGTTTTCTTTGGATTGGTACTTTGAATAAGTGATGGTACTTGATTATAAAGAACAAATTTTCTTCCATCAACAAGGTAGATAAGATTGACATTTTTTTGTATCTTTTCTTCATGTCTCTTGCTGTTGGAGTCTCAAAGATGCTTATATTATGGACATGCTGTTGAGCTTTATTCTGTAACATTTCTCCATGTCTAAGCATAACTTTCTGTTTTATTATAGGTTCGTAATTTGCGCATAGGAGCCATGATGAAAACCATCTTACCAGCATTAGCTCAGGCTGTGGTTTTGAACTGCCACTCACCTATGCAACATATTGGATCTTGTGAAAGCCTAAAGCCACAACTTCAAGTACATGATCCACTAATTTTTATTGATATTTGATTGACTTTATGTTATTTTGTGGTATCTTCATGTTATCATATCCCTTGAAAGTTTATTTATTGCTTAAGCCATTTGAAAATTTCTTTGATGTTTTTGTGCCAGTAAAACTTTCATTTACTCGTTTTGTGGGTGATATCTTATGGGTTAAGCATCCGTTCTGCCGCTTGGATATATTTCTTACAAATTTATTAATTCTCAATTAATGTTGTCGCCTTTTACATTATCTGACTTCATCTATTTAAGTACTCACAAGTCCAATCCATTGGCCACTAATGCAAAAACCTTGGAACCAGTACTATCTTCTGCTGACATGTTACCCTGAATAGTAACATGTGGGCAATGAATACTGCGTGACCTGACCTGGCTTGAAGGTTGATGTATATAGTAACCTGGTTGATTGACCATGAAACAAATCCCAAATTTGGGCCAGGAAAGCCTATCTTATTATTTGCCATGCCAGACTCCGGAACAGGGTTACAGATCCAGCGTAAACATGGCTTAACAGCATGCAGGTCTGGTCCGATATTAAGGAGGCATATTTCCTTTTTCGTTGAAGCAACCCTCGATGCTCTTCCTTCAAACATTTAAAATTATTTTTGAGTTTTCTTGAAAGAAAATTTTAGGGTTTATGTTTTTTTTAGAAATTTCTTTAGGAAAGCTTTAGAGATTGCTTTGATCTATGTTTTCCCTACCTTACATGTCAAAATTTTAAGCAAATCATGAAATCCGAATTTTAGGGTTTCTCCTTTTGATGAAATTGTTATAGGGATAGGTAGAAGAGGTTAAGGGAAATCTTTTGGCATACAAATTTTAATTTTTCATTAAGCAAGTTTGTGTTTAAAAATTGTTGGAAGCTTAGGTTGTTTTTTCTAAGTTAGGGATTTTAGGGTGCATGTTTAGGAAAGTTATTCCATATGATTTTGAGAAGTCTCTAAAGTATAGAAACTTTAGTTTTGAGCACAAGAATAATTTTGCTAATTATTTGATGCATAATTCCGAAAATAAAAAGAATTTATATATAACTAAAAGAAAGATGGATGTTTTAGAAGGATTTAGGCTAAATTAGATGACTTTTGAAATTCCTATTATTGCTATTTAATTAAATCCGAAAATCGGGTGATGTTTTTTTTGGCATAAGGTTAAGCAAAATTATAGGAAACCTAGAAAAAAACAATGTTAGAACATAAGATTAAGAAAAGCAATGTTGGAACATAAGGTTAAGGTTAAATGAATTCTTTGTCTTTGTCTTTAGGTAGTAGAAAAAGAATAAAGAAAGCGAAAGCGGAGAAGAAGGTTGTGGAGGTAGGAATTCTTTTCCTTACATGTTCAATTGCTATTTCATGTTTATATCATGTTGTATTGTAAAGCCTTTTATAGAAATAGAATATTTATTTTGTTTCTTTCATGTTTCAAATTCATGTGTAAAGCTTTATGTCAAACATTTGTAAGAAAGGAAAGAATATATGGTCATGTGAAACAAATATCGAATTGATTGTGCATGATTGAATACGGAGTACCAAAGACGGTGCCAAAGGCACATATGGCCCTTGGGGCAATTGAGGAAAATAAATGGCCAAAAGATGTGTACCTGATCAGTACAAGACGGTACTCCGGGACGGTTGAATATGTTAAATAAGTAAAAGAATATGCATTAAATATAGCTATGACATATGTATATGACATTTACATACCTTTCATGAGGACATAATCGAGACATTAAACACATGTTCCCCTTTTTTCTTAAAGCATGTAAATCAATATTTTTATGTCAACTGAGCATGTTTAGGATTAGAACTTTCTGCTGAGCGTAGCTCATTTCCTAGTTTTGTGAAATTTTCAGGAGACCCGACTCTTAGGTGATGGCTGATCACCCGAGGTTTACTTATAGACGACGCTTACCGGGTGACAGGTTCCTTTACTGTCTTTAGTAGTAGTAGATGTTGTAGTTATTTTTGTTATTTTGGATGGCATACAGAAATTGTGTAGAAAACATTTTATATGGCCATCTTATACATTTTGATAGACTTGTGTTATGATCATGTTGTAGAGGTGCTTTATTTATTTTGATTAGCTAAAATTGAATGGAATTGTTGATGAGAAATAAATTTCGCGTCCGATCTCGTTCCCACCTCGTATCTATGAGCTAACCGGACCGGATCGTGACACAGGGAGGGTGACGGGAGCAGGCAGTGGAGGTCAGGTGTTGAGCAGTCGGAGAGGGAGGTGAGCTTCGGCTGCGGGAGGAGAGTTGGACGGGGCTTTGCGCGTGGAGATTCAGAGAGCCGGGAGGAGCTTGGTCGGGTTTGCGATCGGGAGAGGGAGGGGCTCGGGATCGGCAGAAGGAAGCAACAGTCGAAGACTCCATTTGCCCTGGTATTTAACAACGATCGGGATCGTTCTGCGAGGTAGGTCGCGGGATTTAGGCAGGATTTTCCGATCGAGACATGAGCGGCGCTGAGCTACAGGATTTTACGGGATTTCTTGCTGGATTCACGGAGATTTGGGCGTCTCGATGAACACGAGGTATATACGTGGGATCCTTGATTTCTTTCCTCTTTTGTCTGGTTTATACAGAGGTTAACAATCCCAGAGCTGAAGAATCTCTTGAAAGTCTAGAAGAAATGGAAGTTAAGCATGTTCAACTCCAAAATATGATTGGGGCTAGTTTTATTAAATCTCTAGTAACTTCAACTCCGAATACTTAATTAATTTTCTTAGCGTGGAGATATTAAAGCTGGCCATCTTATTCATGTCAGGGTAATGGTCGATGTTCAATGTGGTTCATTGTACTATCTCAGCTGGATCCTCTAGTTCAGGTTTGCATAGTTTGGTCTTTGGCATGGTCAACTTGACTTGAAATCATTATTTCTCCTTCGACTGTGATTTTGATCATCATCATCAGCCATTCCCAATTTTTCAGAGCCAGTTAGGATTTTTTCCCTGGATTGTGCAAATTGTCTGGGCCAAGGAAGTAAAATCACATGATAACTTAGCTTGTGATGTGTTAAATAATTTGTTTGATATTTTTTTTTCATGCCTACTGTTTTCTTTGGATTGGTACTTTGAAAAAGTGATGGTACTTGATTATAAAGAACAAATTTTCTTCCATCAACAAGGTAGATAAGATTGACATTTTTTTGTATCTTTTCTTCATGTCCTTGCTGTAGGAGTCTTAAAGATGCTTATATTATGGACATGCTGTTGAGCTTTATTCTGTAACATTTCTCCATGTCTAAGCATAACTTTGTCTGTTTTATTATAGGTTCGTAATTTGCGCATAGGAGCCATGATGAAAACCATCTTACCAGCATTAGCTCAGGCTGTGGTTTTGAACTGCCACTCACCTATGCAACATATTGGATCTTGTGAAAGCCTAAAGCCACAACTTCAAGTACATGATCCACTCATTTTTATTGATATTTGATTGACTTTATGTTATTTTGTGGTATCTTCATGTTATCATATCCCTTGAAAGTTTATTTATTGCTTAAGCCATTTGAAAATTTCTTTGATCTTTTTGTGCCAGTAAAACTTTCATTTACTCGTTTTGTGGGTGATATCTTATGGGTTAAGCATCCGTTCTGCCGCTTGGATATATTTCTTACAAATTTATTAATTCTCAATTAATGTTGTCGCCTTTTACATTATCTGACTTCATCTATTTAAGTACTCACAAGTCCAATCCATTGGCCACTAATGCAAAAACCTTGGAACCAGTACTATCTTCTGCTGACATGTTACCCTGAATAGTAACATGTGGGCAATGAATACTGCGTGACCTGACCTGGCTTGAAGGTTGATGTATATAGTAACCTGGTTGATTGACCATGAAACAAATCCCAAATTTGGGCCAGGAAAGCCTATCTTATTATTTGCCATGCCAGACTCCGGAACAGGGTTACAGATCCAGCGTAAACATGGCTTAACAGCATGCAGGTCTGGTCCGATATTAAGGAGGCATATTTCCTTTTTCGTTGAAGCAACCCTCGATGCCATCTATTATTGTATTTTGTTTCGTTTCATAGAAAGTGGTTTTTTAAATGAACCATTAAAATATTGTTATAATGGTCAGCTTAGCATCCTAGTTGCCTATTCAGTTAATCAATAACATTCAACTTTCAGGTTTTGTGATCATGTTCCTTGTTTTCTAGATTGACTGGTTCTATTTATTCATTTCTTATTTTTTAATCTTTCCAGGGGATTTGTGCAGCAGTTACTGAAGCCTATAATATATCTCCAAATCTGGTTTGTATTTTTTGTCCTTACCAGATTTGAACTGGGTAGTTTTCTTGAATTTGATAACATTTTGTTTTAAATTTTATGTTTATGATGAATTAGTTCCTTTTTTTAAACTGAAGTTGCCTTATCATGTTCCTTGAGACCTTCGAATGTTAGTTCTTGCTCTATGGTTATCTTCAGCAGATGAGATCGAGCAAGATGAAAACCCAACAGAAATGTTTCATAAATAAGACTACGCTCAAGAACTCAGACGGAAAATAAATTTGAGCAGAACCAAGGAGTATCTATCGTTTCTGAAGCATGCAACTAAGCATGGATCCAAAATTGAAAGAAAGAAATCCAAGGTCCGCCCAAAAATCAGCTTGCCAAGGGCATAGAAAATTCATAATGTCCGCATGAGATCAACAGACCCTGAGGAGCTTGGATGAAGTAGAGATAAAAAGCCGACCCACCATAGCAACTGACTGTGAAGAACTTCTAAACCATGGGATCACCAACATATCGGGCAATTGAAGAGAAGCAGGCTGAACATGATTACTGCTAACACCAACAAATGAACAATATTTCTAAATGAATATTAGCATCAATAATATCCTCTTATCTTCTGTATCTTATCATCTAAAGACCAATCGATTCATCTAAATCAAATGAATTTCTATTAGATTATCCTCCCCAAAGACTAGTAATCAGTTTCCTCCGGTTGTTTCAGTATAAGCTACAACTTGTATTACACCTGTCTTACGTCCTTATGGTTTTATACGACTCTCTTGTTTGTATTCATTTGTTATTCTGCATTGGCATCCATGCAGCATTTGTTGTGTTATTATGGTTTTCTCACATTTTTCTTGAGCCTTAGCCTTCTTGGTACTATTGATAATTTCATAATGTTTCCATAAATATGTTCGATTTCAAAGTTCTTTGAAGTCAATGAAAGCACTTACATAGGCACACATGCATATAAGCATTACTTTATGCTGTTTCAACTCCTTTTCTGTATTTCATTTGTGATGTTATGATACTTTTTTGCTTCATTGTGGTAACTATTATTGAATTTGCTATTTAAATATATCATTTTTTTTTTAAATTTATGCATGGCCATGAGGCTGAAGTTGAACAAGGTCTTACTTACTACAGCATTGCTTTCATTTATTTGTGTATTCATGCTTTGCTCAAGGCACTTTTTGTGTCAAATAGGAAGGAGAAGGGGCAGGCCTGACATAACATGCATAGGAATTGCTCAAAATATTTTTCGAAGAATAGGTCTAGTAATTCAAACAGAGCTTAGTAGGAACGAATGAAAAAAATGTGAATTCATATAAACAACACAAAATGATGTTGCTTCTTTGTGTATTGCTTTCTGTATAGTTTTGCTAGCTGCAGAAGCACCTTTTATTTATGAGACTTAATGAGTGCATAATGGACAATGAGTTATGATTCTGAATATCAAGCATAGAAAAGAAAGGACACTGGTGACGAAGAAGGCCACAGACGATTGGAATTAGGGACACAGCATGCCTAGGATAGTATATCTGTATATTTTAAAATACGTTATATTTCTAGTACTGTATCATAGACTTAAAGATAAATTAAGAGAAATGAATAAAAATTATAATCCCCATGCCTTGCACAAATGAATACAATAATCAGAATGGTAATGAATCTGTGTAAGGATGATAAAAATGTGATAAAGATGGTAATGAGAGTTGCAGAAGACAAAATTAGATTGGGATCTAACCAGGTTAGAGTCATTGTATTATTCAGTTTGTTGGCAAAATATTTCTTGGTTGTGTCCCTTTGGTGTCCTAAGCTTTTGGAGATGGCAGTTTAAAATACAATATTCAGAAATGTTAAATGCTTTATATTTCACATTGCCTCATTGTGTCCCAGTGTCCTTTTTGGCATGCTTCGTCCTTTGGTTTGTCTATTACTGTTTTTGGATTTGGGTGATTTGTTTGATGTTTTAGATTTCAATTTTTCTTTCTTGTATACTTGAAAAACATTTTATACATTAACTCTTGAAGAGTGTCTTTTTTTCAGTTTGCATGGGACAAGAAGAAAAAACTTGTACGAATAGATTTTAGACTCAGCATATATGATCCCAATACTATGATAACTAAAGTTCTTGGAATGTTTCTGTATTACATTCTGGAAATGCTTGAACTCTTATTTGACATCTATTACTTGTAGTTTTTGTTTCTCTAAAGATTAATATTGTGAATTGTACTTCAATAGGATTTGCTTGTTCCTTCTCTCTTGAGTGGAGGAATTGAGTTTTCTGCTTCTGCTTTGACAATGGAACCAGGCACACCTATTCCACCTATGCTTGCTAGGTATGTTATTTGTTCATTTGCCAGCTATTTTTCTCTGAATTTTCTTTGAGTTGACACTTCTGTTATATGTCTTGTCACAGAATCACCAATGGTATCAGCCAAGTACTGAAGTTGTTCCAGAATAGAGCTTTTACATGTGAATTCAAGTAAATTTTATTTAGAAATGGTGTTCCTTTTGCAACACACTGTAATATATATTTCTATAATTCTACCTTCAATGCTAATCACTTCTTGCTATCTTAATTAAGTTAATTTAGGTACTTTTTTATAATTTGAAGTATATTTTGTTGTTGTATAGACATTCAGCTTATGTAATCAGGTGGCCACCGCATTTGATTAACATTATATATCAATTATAAGATCTTCAGTAAAAGTATTTGAAGGATGACTATGTTTAACAGTAGAGATTCTCAACAAGATATAATTTATTATGATATCTTCATATATTTGAAGAATGACTATGTTTGATTCAAAAGGCCCTTAGGAAAAAAAATTGCTGGTTTAACTTTGAAAGGGTAAATTTGTAAATAAAAACTATGGGGAGGTTAAATTTCAAAAATGTGAATTCAGAATTGTGAGTGGGCAACTAAATTAGGATAGGAGAGAGGTCTATATGGAGAAAATTAAGGCTATCCAATATTCTTTCCCAAAATTTTCAACCTATTTCTACGTGTTTGTCCACTCTTAAGAAGATATCAAAGGGAATATTTGTCACGACCCGACTCGGATGCTCGATTTAACGAGGCGGGAACTAAAAGTCGGACGGTAGGATCTAATCATTTCAGTTCATAAACAAAACAATATTAAAACATTGAATTCCTCTTAGCTTTCATCTGAAGAGCCACTAACAAAATTCCTCAAATACTTAACATTTGTCTCAAATCATAAATTACCTGTTATCTGTTGCATGTCATCTTCTATAGAGGAGCTCTTCTCTTTCTCTCATTTCTAAATCTTTGGATATTTACCCAACAACAACAACAACAACAACATCAAGCCTTTATCCCACTACGTGGGGTCGGCTACATGAATCCTTTTTCTCCATTGTGTTCTATTAAAAGTCAAATTCTCATTTAAACCTAATAAAGAAAGGTCATTCCTAATATTTTCTAACCAAGTCTTTGGATATTTACCCGAAACAATTAATTAGTGGAATGAGTTTATACAGTAAACTCAGTAGGTAACTGTTAAAACGATCAACATGAATATTCTTTATTTACAATACACTAATAATCTTTAATATGCATCTTATCCTTTCTTAACTCTATTTCATTCATTTCAGTCATTTATACATATCCGGTCGTATTCCTTTAAAACATTATAAAACTTTAATATTTATTCATTTTCTCATTTAATTCGTAGATGAGCACCGTCTAAATGTACTCAAAGGTACAACCATTTTCATTTTTTCATTTTCCTTTTTCGTGCACGGGTAAGTTACTTCCCCAACCAGTACCATACGGGAGTGAACTCCTGTAAGTTGCATGCATATCATTTTCCTTTCTTTTACATTTATTTTGAACTTATCGATTCATTTTCATATGTCACTTCTTCGTTTGCATACTTTCTTAATACATACATGTATCATATAATATCCTTTTTCACACATATACACAATTTCATTCATGTCATTTCATTCATTCATTTTCTGTTATAATAATATTTACATTCATTTATGCATTTGAACTTTTAACATTTCACACATGTAGTCTCTAAAAAGTAAAACTTTTGAAGCAATACTATGATATAAAATACTATATCATATTCGAAAGAATATACAAAATATTGAATTTCATAATTACAATTATCCACTTTGATTCTCCTCCAATATTTTTCTTGTATTGAAATCCTTTTAACTGTTCACATAAATATAACATTTTAATTAATATTAAATCTCAATTTGAATGACTCAACAAACATTGGATTTCTTCCACATGAAATTACCTTACAAATTTTCACTTCTCTCGTTGTTGAGTCTTTGTTGAAACAAACTCTTACAACTTGGTCTCCCTTTAAATCCCTAATATTAAACAATAAATTTTTTATAAAATAAATATGCTATCTAACAAAATTCATTTGAAAGTCTATTTACAATGAGGGGATTTTTTCCCAAATCCTAAAGCTTCATCTTTCTCCAGCACAAATCTCCTCTCCTCGCTACCAAATGTCTTCCTTACTGTCAAATTAAAATTTTCCACTAATTATAGTAATGATTAGGAACAATTTATAAAATTTTGAGAAAACAAACATTTTTCCTATTTCCTTTCAAATTGTTTTTCTCTTTCACCGTAGTTTCTCCCAAATCCCCACTTGTATAATAATAGGAATGAAAAGGAGTTGTTTAATCTTACCCTCCAACGCGATCATTTGCTAAAAATGGCGAAACAAAAAATTCCCCAAGCTTTTTCGCAAGTTCGGCCGTCCGCACCCACCCTTGCCTGTTCGCGAACGTCTCCCCCTCTCTATTTCGTTTGCTAAAACCAACTATTCTTAGGTCGCGTCTAATAATAGGTTGGTTGGCCTGTTCGGTTGAACCAGCCACCCAACCGGTTTATTACAATCTCCCCTACTTATAAAAACTTCGTCATCAAAATTAAATCAAGTATAAGGAAACATACCTTAGTTAAATAGAGATGATGATATTGACTTTTCATTTCAGCTTCCTTCTCCCAGGTGGCATCTCTTTCCATCCATGCTTCCATAAAATCTTCACAAAAGGTATTGCTCTATGCCTCAACTATTTTACATCATAATCCAGTATTCTTTCAGGTTCCTCAATATATTTTAAATCAGGCTGCATGTTAATAAATTTGGACCAATTCTCTTTGACTCATCTGATACATATTTTCGAAGCACTGATATAGAAAACACATTATGAATTCCTTGTATATGCACTAACATATACAATTTGTAAGCCATTTTTTCATTCCTCTATGACTTCAAAAGGACTTATGAATCTTGGACTCAATTTTCCTGTCTTTCCAAACCTTTGTATACCTTTCATTAGACTGACTTTTAAGAAAACAATTTCTCCTTCTTCAAACTCAACTGATTAGTGTTTTGCATCATAATATTTTCGTTGCCTGTCTTGTACTGCCTTTAGTCTGTATCTGATCATTCTTATTTTGCTAGTAGCCTCATCTACCAATTCAGTTCCAATGATTTTTCTTTCACCTGTTTCTACACAACACAAGGGTGTTATGCACTTTCTCCCATAAAGCGCCTCGTATGGTGTCATTCCAATACTAAATTGAAAAGTATTATTATATGCAAATTCAATCAATGGTATATGAGCCTCCCAATTTCCTCCAAAATCTAAAACACAACCTCAATAAATCCTCTAAAGTTTGAATTGTCATTTATGATTGTCCATCTGTCTGAGGATGAAATGTTGTACTGAAAGTCAATATGGTGCGCATAGCTTCCTGAATTTTTTTCACAATTTAGAAGTGAATCGGGCATCTCTATCAGAAATAATTGATTTTGGATTTCCATACAACGTCACAATTTCATTCACATATATTCTTGCCAACTTCTCCAATGAATCTGTCTGCTTGATTGGTAAGAAATGAGCTGACTTAGTTAATCTGTCAATAACAACCCATATTGCATCTCGACTCTGCCTTGACTTGGGTAATCCAATTACAATGTCTTCCCATTTTCACTCTGGTATAGGTAAAGGTTGTAGTTAACCACTTGGCTTTTGATGTTCTGCTTTAATCATCTGTATCATCTGACAGGGAATATATTTTACTACAAATTTTGTAGCATTCTTTTTTAATCATGGCCACCAAAACAACCCTCTCAGTTCTTGATACATCTTTATACTGTCTGGGTGAATTTCATAAGTTGAAAGGTGAGCTTCTTACATTATCTATTCTCTTAAGTTTTTAATATTTGGAATACAGATCCTGCCTTTCTACTTTAGTAGTCCTTCCCTATCTATAACAAAGTTCTCTAATTGTCCTGTTTTCATATTCCTTATGATCTTTTGAAATTTTTCATCTTGAGACAATGAATTGAGCACTCTATCCTTAAAAGTAGATTGAATCACCAATTGATTTAATATCATATATTTCATATTTCTCTGATTGACCACCGACAACTCTAGTCTTTTCATGCTTTGATTGTCTGTTCCTGCTGGGTGATTAGCCAATTTGCATTTTCAAGAGCTTTTCTGCTAAGTGTATCCGCAATTACATTTGCTTTTTCAGGATGATACTGTATGTCCAAGTCATAATCTTTAATGAGCTCTAACCATCTTTTCTGTCTCAAATTAAGTTCTTTTTTATTGAAAATATATTTAAGACTCTTATGATCTGTAAACTCTTCACATCTGACCCCATATAAGTAATGCCTTCATATTTTGAGTGCAAAAACTACAGCTGTCAATTCTAAGTCATTGGTGGGGTAGTTTCTTTAATTAATAAGAATAAAATCAAGTCATTGCTGAATGGCCAAGGCTAACAATAGTTTCTCAGGTGAGATGTTTTATGGGTCTTGCAAGTTATTACAGGAGGTTTGTAGAGGGATTCCTCAGATTGCAATACCGTTATCCAGATTAACTCAGAAAGCAGTGAAATTTGAATGGAGTGATCAGTGTGAAGAAGCTTTCCAGAAGTTAAAGAATTGACTAATGACATCTTAATTTTGACAATTCCATCAGGTTCAGAAGGATTTCAAATTTTCTGTGATGCTTCCTTAAGGGGACTTGGATGTGTATTGATGCAGCATGGTAGATTAGTGGCCTATGCTTCAAGGAAATTGCCACATAAATTCTTTCACCACTAATCACATGCCCAAGAAATTTTACACTGTTCAACCAAAATTCATATTTTAAAAATTTAGCATATAACTTATTCTCTTTAAGTGTTTGCAATACTGCCTGCAAATGATTGGAATGACTCTCTTCATCTGTTGAGTAAATCAATATATCATCAATAAAACAATTACAAATATGTCTAAGAATGGCTTAAAAAATTTATTAATCAAATCTATAAATACAGCTGATGCATTTGTCATTTTAAAAGGCATTACCATAAACTCATAGTAATCATACCTGGTTCTAAAAGCTGTATTTTCTATATCTTCCTCCTTAATACGCAACTGATGGTATCCAGATCTCAAATCAATTTTAGAAAAAATT